ATTATCGATATCTGCGTAGATAAAATCTAATCCGATCGGACTTTCTTACTTGGTGAAATAAATTCTACGTAAGTAAGAGTTAGAGAACGTCGTATGAATATGATACGTGTGATCGTAAGAATCTCCATTGAAAACGTGCCCCAATGAATAAACATTATGAATAGCGTTAAAGTATTACTAAGACTCATGAGAATTTGCTTTTAACCTCAATATCTCCGTGATAGATACTTGAAAGTGGTCGATTCAAAAAAAAAAAAAAAAAAAAAAAAAAAAAAGAATGAAAAGAAAATGAAAAAGAAGTATAAGAATAAAAAAAAAAAAAAAAAAAAAAAAATAAAAATAAAAATGAAAGAAAAATAAAAAAAGAAATGAAAAGGAAAAGTTGAGGTGTAATTTCGAAGACGATGTATTATGTACTAATGTAAAATTTATGTCCGTAAGAGTGTATATATTTGTACATACACACACACATACACGTTATGTTAGTTCACGTTTTAGTGTGCCCCTTGAAAGTGTCACCATCGACCACTGTCCTAGTTACTTTCCTATGGCTTCTATTACCAGTTAAACACTCCACGTGTCCAACGAAGAGCGAATCAGAAAATAAGATGAACGTTTTCGTTGTCGTTCGTCAATCGTATGTTGTTCCTTTTGCCATTCATCTACCAAGCAACCCAACTATTCCATCGAGTTTACGTGATAATGGTCGTCGAGCACTCAGTGAAACGAAAATAACGTGATCCTTCTTCGTCTCCTGTATAACACAAGGCACTTACGAATTTCATCTCTTTTTCGTCGTTTTCATCATCGTCGTCGTCGTCGTCGTCAGAGGAGGTTCGATCGATCGAAAATAAATTACATTAGTAAATGGCCACTTAATTCTTTTTTTTTTTTTTTTTTTCTTTTTTTGTTTGTTTGCGTAGGTAGATTAGGTGGATGAAATAAAAAAGAAAGAAGGAAAAAAAAAATTAGAATAAAAAAGAAATAAATAAAAAAGAAAGCGAAAACGAAATGACTCTCGCTCGATTGTTTGTCGATAGATAATCGTACATTTATCAATATAATAAATATGTAGATTATGTATACTAGATCGTAATATAGATTGTTTTTGGATTACGTGATTTTGATATTGATTAAGGAATCAAAATGGCCGACTTATACTACGTTCGTGGAAAGAGCAACGATTTTTTATGATGATTTGTTTTAATATAATCACATATATGAATAGTTAAGAACAGAAATAATTTATAACTCTATGTATATATATATATATATATATATATATATATATATATAATTATACATATATATAAATTCACGAGAATCGATTACATCAAAATGAAAATAAAC